GATGTTGTAGCAGAAATCAACCTTTTTGCATTTTTACAGCTGCTGAGGTGTTAAAGCATGGAGGAGCAAGAGAGTCACGCACATTGAAATAAAGCATGTTATGAATGGATCAGCAAGTCTGCAGTTAAATATGAATATAAAATATGAAACTCATTTACAAATGACTTTTTAATGTAATTTGTGGAGTGAGACATTAAATTAATCATGTGAGAATTTAACGAATAATAAATAATATGTGTAATTATAAATAAATATTTCTAAATACATTAATATTCATCCATCATTTAATTGTTCAAACAAAAAAAGGTTTTACACAAAAAACATTAAACACTCAACAAAACCTAATTTAAATCCTTTTTTAAAATGCAGTAAGTCAAATGACTCATGAGGCTCATGTTAGCTTGTTAGAAGACATCCCAGCAGTACTATCTTACTACCATTGTTATTTAGTTAATGTGCTCTTCACAAATAGAGCCTGAAGCAGCTACTGCTGTTAGGACCAGCCCCAACATGATGTTACATCTACACTGTTACACCTGTCTCTCTGTCATTTTCATGTGTTATTTATTACTCTACTGACTCGCTCTCTTCTACCTGCTTCCTACTCTACATATCACAGTGTTATTTGGGAACATCATGTCTTGGCATTCACTCTTTTCTCTGTATTATTTTAGGTTCTTTACTTTACAATATAAATACAGTATATATCTAAATATCACCATGAGGCGACTGCTGTTCTGATTTGAATGAATAGAAATGTAATTGAATTAAATAATACTCCGTGCAGATTTCTGCTTGACCTCCATCCTCTTCCTAGCTGCCCTAATCCTCTGCACTTCCTTCTCCTCTCTGTCTTCATCATTTTCATAATCAGATCTTCAAAGTACTCATTTGTACATTTCCATGTAATCAGTGTTACCCTGACCTGCTGCACACCCAGCTTGACCTCTCCCTCTCTAGCCACTGAATAGAAATCCTTTTGTTATTCTTTGTGTCCAGCCTCACATACAATTCCCCATAAACTTTTTCCTTTGCCATCTCTCTTTGCTGACTTCCCATTAGTCCTGTCTGCTTTTTTCATCTTACGCGGAAGGCATTTAACCCTTGCCATTGGGTGGATTCCTGGCAGTGTGGAGTCCACTGAAGTCTGGGACTGCAATGACCCAGACTGAGGAATCTTTGGAATGTGGAGACTATGTGGAACGGGCTCTGGCGCTGAAGCGCTCGCACTCACACGCTGACAGCATAGAGTCTGCTGGCTGCATGGAGACCTCTGCCCCAGGCTCAGACAGGGATTAGTGGGGCACTCGACTCTGGGAGAAGCAAAAGCCTCCACACAGCTCACACAAAAAATATATATTTTTGAGAGGACTGTTCCAAGAGCACAATTAACAGTCTTTAAGTTGGCAGACTCAGGCACAGGCTCTGTAAACGCCAAGATGTGAATGAGTGAACCTGCACAACACAAAACTCTGAACTTTCAGGCTGGAAAACATAAAACTCAGTATGTCTGTGAAGGTTCTCAGTCATCCAGGTCATCGTAGT